ATTATTCATGTAAATTAATATGTGTATGTCTCTTACTAAAACCTTTGTCTTAGTAATACCTTGTGATAGTGAGTTCCATGGGTTAACTATGGTTTGGTTTTATTTTGTTTTTTTAGGTTGTTCCTTTGAACAGTTGTAAATGTGTTTTTGGCCTTGTAATTAAATTGGCTGTTCCCTGGTTCTTTAAAAAGAATACACAGGCGTGTCCAGCTAATGTTCACTAATACTAATCTAGGTCTGTGTCCTGAATGATAACAGGTTATATAAGACTTGTCAATGTGTATGAGAGTGCTCACAGATCTTTCCCATGTGCTTTAATTTGCACTTATCTCCTGACATTGTGTTGCCCAGCTGGGATCAGCATGGTTCTGTGATGGAGTGTCCTTTAGCCTGCATCATGGCAGGGAAGAGGTTAAGGCAGAATCAAGGGGTAGATAACAGGAAATACTCTAGCTGGACCCAGTTACAAGTTAAAGAGACTTCTCTCAGAAGAGAGGGGCTCTAGTCAAGGGAAGGATCCTTTCACCAAGGGCATGAGCAGCAGGGCTCAGTTTTGCATGAACTTGAGCCAGAAAAAGCTGCTTTAATCAGCAGAGCGGAGCCTCCTGCTGAAAAGGGGCTGTATCTACTGGGGGAATAGCTGAAGCAAGCTGTATCCTGGATGTTACTGTACAACTGGGTTGCCAGGAGCCAAGTATTGTACTTGTATTTGCAAGACTGTTTAGAGAAACCAGACAGTGTGTTCTGTGCCTGTATAGCTGGAGAGCAACCTTGGGCTGGGGTTAGGTGTCCACTTGAGGGATCATTTGGTGTGTGTGGGGTTCTTTAAAAAAAACAACAATAATAAAAAGACAATAAAATCTTTGATCCTCATAAAAGGCTGGTTCTAAGTGAGTGTGGGAGGTTGTGCCTTCCTTTTAGCTCCTACTGTACATTGGATGGAATGGAATATGTGGGCCTAGCATGGAAAGAATCCATTTGACAAGGTATTTTTAGGGATTGGCCTCTGGGTTCTCATATTTCACTCACTTATAAGAGTGCCTCCTTGTCCCAGTCAATTTTTGAGAAGAAAGTCTCCTCAGCTTTCTTAATTAAAGAATTACAGGCCATATTGCCACCTCCTGCCTTAAAACCTGCAGGAAGAGGCTCAGGAGGAACAAAATTCCATGAACATTCCGATGTGGAGTTTCCCCCACATCTAGGATGAGCAGATGTTGGACTGGCTCAGTCAGGTTTTGATTTTCATGTCAATGTTCTGTCTTGGAGTCTCCTGGGAGTAGAGGGACTTGGGTCTCTCTGGGAAGTACAGGATATTAGCTAGAGCTGCAAAGGCAGGGCGTAGCCAGGAGGAAGGCAGATGACTGGAAGTGGCTGCGGGAAGTGGAATGGGGAGTTTGAGGCGGGGGGAGGGAAGGCGCTCACACAAGGGATGGGATTAGTTGCTCTCCTACACTTTCTCCTAACCCTTCCGGAAGATGTGTCTAGGCCCTGAAAAGGCTGATGTTGGAGGCAGTGAGGAGGAGCTGCTACCCCATTCACTGTTGCCTGCCCAGCAAACTACCCACAAGAGGCAGGACTAGCCTAAACATGGAGCTTTCAGTCACTGTTACCTTAGGTGAGTGACGTGGTGCCAGGGCAGTGAGTGAACAAGGGTGGGGACAGAGGGAGGGAGCTGCCACCATTGCACAGTTGTCCCAGTTTTTCACTTTGGAAATCTGGCCACCCTGAGTTTGAGTCTGGCACCCAATCCCATGGCTTTCCTGGGCTCTGCAGGAGGGATGGGGCCATCTGTGTGGGAGTCCTCTGCCTCTGAACCAGGTCTGAGAGCCAGCATCCTCCTCATGCTCCCGGCAGCATGACTCCATCTGGAGTAAAGGAAGGTGCAGCAGAGGGAGTCCCTGAAGGCATTCTGGCTGGGTCAGTCATAGTGCCCAGGACCTCTGTGACAATACAAGCAAGAGCTGTGCTACCCTTTTACAGGGGGTCGCATGTTTCTCTTCTTCCTCTGGACTTGCTCAGCTCCCCTAACTTCAGTGGAACTACCTGTGGAGTAAAGTATAATGCAATGTGAGGAAGGATGGATGACTAGAGCCCTCTGTTATTTTATTGCTTATTTATATAATAGCACCATAAATTTGCATGGTGCTAAACAGAGAGTCTTGCCACTGACGGGCTTACAATCTAAAGGGCTGACCCTGAAAAGCATTACAACCATACATATAGTTACTCCTGACCAAGTTGCACTGAAGTCTGTAAGACTCCATAGGGGAGTAGATGGACACATGGTCCTAACTGTGTAGTACTAGCATAGGAAATTATGACAACAGACAAAGACAGGAAAGGTGGTAGTGATGACACACAGATAAAGAAGATGTGATGCGCACAGTGTGTATGAAGCAAATATGGAAGCAGGAACAAAACAGAAGTAACTACAATAGCACTAGTGCAGATGTCAAGTGTGGAAAGTTGGGTAATGGAAAGCCTTCCTTACGTGGCAGCATGCCAGTTGTATTAGGGTACATCTACATTTAGAGCTAGGGATATAATTCCCAGCTTGAGGAGATGTACCCCTGCTAGCTCTGATCAGGAGCAGCGGGAGGGGCTAGCCGCCCCAAGCACAATCCCATCCAAGACCCTAGGGACATACTTGGAGTGGCTAGCCCCTGCTGCTGCTTCCGCTGATGCAGCTGTGCTCTATTTTTAGCACATTAGCTCCATCAGAGCTAGCATGAGTATGTCTCCTCAAACTGGGAATCACACCCCTAGCTCAAAGTGTTGACATACCCTTAGTTTGCCTCAGTCTTGAAAACCAGTATCATCAAACTGATGGTAAGTGAAATAGACTTTGACTCTGATCCTGCAGAACACAAATTCTTACATCCACACAAAGTCTCATTGAAATAAATTGGACTCCACATGGGAGGAAGGATATGCATTTGTAGCTCCCCTTGCAGGAATGAGGCCTTTGTATTCCCTCTGTGTGCTGGCTTCCTCTTTGTCCCTGCTGAGGAACTGTAATGCACTTTTGTATTTAGTCATGTTACACAACATTAAGAACAAGAGTCAAGGCATCCACCCTCTAGCCTCCAGGCTGCTCAGACTACACCCATTGTAACCTGTTCACCCATTGTTACCTTGGCTGTGGATCCTGGGACCAATGCTGCAATCTTTGTATAGGCGAAACTCCTATATAAAGTCAGTGGGAGTTTTCTCTTCAGGGACCAAGGGAATGGGACCGCTGTTGGCCTTTGTTTTGTATTCACTGCTGCACCACATAATGCATAAAAATGCATGAACTTCCCACCAACCTTGGCCCAGTCATCTTTTCCACAACCCAAAAATGAAAAACAGTCACACTGAAGAACTGATTTTCCTGGTAAATTTCAGTTATGTTCAGTTATGTGTATTTTTGCTGATTCCCGCCTCCCCCCCACATACAGATAACAATGCAGATTAAAAATGCATTGATAAATGAAAATTTTTTCTATTCGTTTCATTAAAATGCCTAATTTCAGATAACTTTGTGGGGAAAAGCTGGCCTTTTCACCCACATCTATTTTCAGTCAGGATGACATCTCTTTGCACTGGGTTGACTCACAGCTTCTACAGTGTTCCTGTTGAATCTCAGCAGGCCTTTTCTTTTGGTGATACAGAGGATCTATAAATGTCAGAGCATATTTGTATCCCTCCTTCTATTATGTGCCTGTTACTATAGAGGCCTGTTGCCAGTGGCATGACTTAACTTTTTTTCCCCCAAGGGTCTGGTCAGCCTGGGATATGCACATGTGCAACTCCCATTTTAATGTGCATACATTTCATGTGATGATTGGGACCCTGCCACACACAAAAATATGTTTTTAATGGACTTGAGGATTTTAGTTGTCATTAAATTTAATCTAACAAGGCCTACTCCTGCATTCCTTGTGCATTGGGGAGCTTTGGATGTGCAAGGAATGCAGGATCAAACCCACACAGTTGTTTTGTTCTATCCCCCACCATGGGATAAAGAAATATGATCCCTCTACTTTCTAGCTCATTGTAGACTTCCTGCTGCAATTTTCCCTTCCCTCTCAGCCCTTGTGCCGAGTGCAAAGGAAATCTGCTTAGCCTTTACTTTCTCACACATGTTTCAGATGTGCAGGGGTGTGATTGTAAACAACGTCATCAACTGTGCCAGAACTGTCTACTCCTACCGCGTTCTGTTCCCATCACCCTAGGGGTTCCAGTAATAGGGCGTTAAGCAAACAAAGCAAAACAGTAATCTGGTGTTCCAATTGCATTTTTGTTGTTAGAAAATGTTAATGATAGGTTATGTGATTACCCTAGGTTTGGCTCCACTTACTCTTTATTAAGCACATCTGGTATTTAGTAACAATATAAGTAGCAGGAGTTTTTTTGGCACACAAATAAGATTATCCAATGTTGCCATGCAGTATGGAAACTCATCAGGGAAGCCAGTGAACTGTGTGGAGATACAAGTCTTTCTTGTAGGCTGGGCAGCTGGCCAGAATAGCTAAAAAATGTGGATTGGCATAGAGTTGTTGCCACGCAAACACTTCTGGAAATTTCTGTGTTCAGACCTGCCAAATCCCTTATGCATAACATGAGTTTCTATCTCCCTGAGCAGCCAATTTTAAGCCCAAACTTTCCTCTACACTTAAAAAAAAAAAAATATAGTATCTTTCAGTCTCATTTCCAGTGCACCATTGCCAAGCTCACAATTTCACTGAATTAGAAGGAATTTCCTAAAACATTTGTTTGAGTTACATTAAGCATAACATGTGGGAGACAACTGTGCTTCCTGGAAAATTCTGAAAGGAAGGCTGTCTCGCTTCACGGAGACGGCCTAATGTCTAGTTAGAAAAAACAATGAACCATGACAAGAAAATGTTTTTTTTAAAATTGGCCCAATACATGGAATTTAGTATTTTAAGTTAGCGTGCCTCTTCCAGTCAGGTCAACGTACTGTACAAACACAGGCAGGGTGGAAGGAGCGATGGTCTTGTGGATTAGGCACAAGATCTGGAGTCAGAAGGTCTGGCTTTATTCCTGGCTCTGCCACGGACTTCCTGTGAGACCTGGGGCAAGTGACTGGAAGGTGAGTCGTTTCTGTGTCAGGTTTTCCATCTCTGTAATGGAGATATTGCTTCCCTGTGTCAGAAGAGTTTTGTGTAAATTTTAGGCCCTGTGTGAGCAGAAAGAATTATTCAGTGTGTACATTTCTTGGGAAGGGGTCTGGGAAGAAGAATGATCTACAACGTTATGAAGTAGAAAAGCTAAGTGTCATCAGTTGTGTGACTGTTTCTAGCATCCTATGTTGCACAGGGCCGACGTCGGGGCTTCTAAATTTTGTTGCTCCGGGTCCAGCAGTTTTTGTGAGTATCCCTTAAATATCATTATTTATCTTGACTTTTATTTTAAAAGAGTGGGCCTCATTTATCTGTAGTGCAAATTTATTGATGTTAGTAGGGTTATCCTTGGGAAGAGTTCGGCCCAGCTTCTAGCCATTCTCGTTGTGAAGATAACCATCGCAAGGTAAACTAGAGTAGAAAGTTTGTCATGGCAGATTTTTTGTTTGTTTGTTTTCATTATCTGAGTCTCTGCCACAGAGAATTAGAGTCAATATTTGGGCTCTGCAAAGCCTAAATCCATGGATCTCCAGTTTTGGAGTGACTCACCCTGTGGATTCATTGCTGTGAAGAGGACCACTTGAGCTTCTGATGCTGGTACTAGGACTGCCATCAGCACCCTCCCAGCCACTGGCTGGCTGCTTGCCAACAACTGAGCTTGATCCTCTGTTGATCTGCAGTGCGGTCTCTAGCCACAAGGAGGGGCAGCTCATTGGAGGAGCTGACTCAGCTCCAGGGTACATGCACAGAGATTGCAGAGGAAGAAGGGATCAGGCTCTACAACATACATGCCCTAGGTACATCAACAATTCCCACCTCCAAATATGATTAGAGAGACTGAGGAGAAAACATGTAGGACAGAGGAAGGGTGGCGGGAGAACTAATGGAACGCACAAACAACCTGTGGAACTCCTTGCCATAAGATGTTGTGAAGGCCAAGACTATAACAGGGTTCAAAAAAGAACTAGATACGTTCACGGAGGATAAGTCCATCAATGGCTACTAGCCAGGATGGGCAGGGATGGTGTCCCTAGCCTCTGTTTGCCAGAAGCTGGGAATGGGCAACAGGGGATGGATCACTTGATGATTACCTGCTCTGTTCATTCCCTCTGGGGCACCTGGCATTGGCCACTGTCAGAAGACAGGATACTGGGCTAGATGGACCTTTGGTCTGACCCAGTATGGCCGTTCTTATGTAAGGAAAGAAAGGAGCAACAGAATCAGGGGCACACATAGCTGTCTACTATGAAAAACTGAAAAGGCTGAGATTTTTCTCCCTTGCTGGGAGAAAATTATACCAAATTAAAACAACATGAGCTTAATTTATTTAGCTCATCAAACCGAAGGTTAAGGAGTGACCTGATCACAGTCTATAAGTACCAAGATGGGGAACAGAAAAGTGATAATAGAGGTGCTCTTCAGTCTAGCAGACAAAGGTACAATAAGATCCAAAGGCTGGAAGATGAAGCTAGAAATACTCAGACTAGAAATAAGGCACAAATGTTTAACAGTGAGGGTAATTAACCACTGGAACAACTTACCAAGAGCTGTGATAGATTCCCACCATTGGGAATTTTAAAATCAAGCCTGGATGTTTTTCTTTAAGATCTGTTCTTGTTCAAATATACCTATTGGGCTTGAAGCAGGAATTAGTACAGGTATCCTATGGTCTGTGCTATGCAGGAGATCAGACTAGACAATAACAGAGGCCACTCCTGACCTTGAAATCCTTAAATGAAATGAAAGTAATTTCTCCCCAATGTTAGATGAAACTGGACAACTGTTGCATTCATGAACACGCTTGGCAGCCTATTACTTATTCTCTTCAGCTTCACTCTCATGGTTGTAGCTCCTGCGGCTGTGGCACCATCAAGAGGCTGGAGATTCTGGAGGCCATGGAGAGAGCAGAGGAAGAAAGAAGAGAGAACGTAAGATCGGCATGAGCAAGAGAGTGATGGTCAAGAGGGAATGGGGATGATGCTGGAAAAGAGCAGGACAGGACAGGAGATGTTATTTTACAAAGAAACTGAAAAGGCCAGAGAAGGAGGGAGACTTTTAAAAAAACACACCAGAAAATAAAATGAAATTAAAAGAAGGACATGGAGATGGATAGAGCAAGTCAGAGGTGGAAGAAGATACAAATGGGATACAGAAATGGGAGAAGGCAGGAAAAGCAAGGAGAGATACATGCTGCTTTTAGGTTAGTGAATTTTATTTTTATTTCTTTCATGCTACTACATTTTACTGTAGTGCCCTGTCAGACATTTTATTTGTCTATAGGGATGGTGGTTTACATCACTTATTGTTGACCGCTCTCGATTCTATACCTATGTATTGACGCAGAGAGGGGCTAGTAGGATGATCGGAGGAAGGGAGAACCTACCTTATGAGAGGTTTCAGAGTAGCAGCCGTGTTAGTCTGTATCCGCAAAAAGAACAGGAGTACTTGTGGCACCTTAAAGTGCCACAAGTACTCCTGTTCTTTTTACCTTATGAGAGGAGACTTAAAGGAGCTTGGCTTATTTAGCCTAACCAAACGAAGGCTGAGGGGAGATACAATTGCCTTCATTAAATACATCAGAAGGATAAACACCAGGGAGGGTGAAGAGATATCTAAGTTAAGGGCCAATGTTGGCACTAGAATAAATGGCTATAAACTGGCCATCAACAGGTTTAGGCTTGAAATTAGATGAAGGTTTCTAACCATCAGAGAAGTTCTGGAACAGCCACCCAAAGGGAGCAGTGGGGGCAAAAAACCTAACTGGTTTCAAGACTGAGCTTGATAAGTGTATGGAATGGACAGTATGATGAGATTGCCTACAATGGCATGTGGACAATCTGCGACTGCTGTTGGGGAGGGCTCTGAGGGATGGCTCTGAGTTACTACAGTGAATTCTTTCCCAGGTCTCCAACTGGTAGGTTTCGTCCACATGCTCAGGGTCTAACTGACTTCCATATTTGGGGTCTGGAAGGCATTTTCCTCCAGGTCAGATTGGCAGAGACCCTGAGTGCTTTTAATCTTCCTCTGCACAGTTACTTACTGGTATGAACTAGAATAAATGGTGGATTCTTCGTAATTGGAAGACTTCAAATCAAGATTTGAAGACTTCAGTCACTCGGCCATAGGTGGGGTCCCTTACAGGAGTGGGTGGGTGAGGTTCTGTGGCCTGTGATGTACAGGAGGTCAGACCAGATGATCATGATGGTCCCCTCTGGCCTTAAAATCTATGAGTAAGTAATTAGTGGAAAGGGAAAAGAAAATAACCTGAAAATCACCAATATATGTATACAACCCTCTGGTTGCTCCCAGGCCCTCAGCTTATTTAGAAAATGTCCTTGGAAAAGGATTCAAATATTGGCAGCTCCAGTATACATGAATCTGAGCACAGGAACAGCTGTACCCTACCATGGGGGGCCCAACAACTCCCTATGGGGAGGGATAGCTCAGTGGTTTGAGCATTGGCCTGCTAAACCCAGGGTTGTGAGTTCAATCTTTGAGGGGGCCATTTAGGGAACTAGGGTAAAATTCTGTCTGGGGATTGGTCCTGCTTTGAGCAGAGGGTTGGACTAGATGATCTTCTGAGGTCCCTTCCAACCCTGATATTCTTCAACTGTTCTATTCTATCCCACCTCGCCGACTTCATTGTAAATGCCTCTGGTCAGTTTGGGAGGGGACAGTAAAGTAAGGGAGTTCCCCCATAGAATCATCTGGCCCAGCTTTCTTCAAAATCCTAAAACTGGTCCCAATCCTGTTTGATTTGAACAATCCATGTTCAAAGTGGGGCAGCTCAGACTGCAGTGCAGGCTCTGTGGAACACCACATAATGGAGAGTTGGTAAAGCAGGAGGGAACATTACACCTCTAGTCTCATTCTTCCCTTCGCTTTATGCTTTTTATGTTTTTTTTTGGGGGGTGGGGTGGAAGGTTGTTTTGTTTTTAAATTTGGCATCATCTGTTTACTTGTTCAAGTGAAACAGAGAGAAACACTTTTAAATCCAGGAGACATGCTGGTACCTGGCTCAGACCGTGTGGTTAAAAAACCCAAGTCCTGGAGCTCAGCTCATGTGAGCTCCTATTCTCTGGCATTTTATTATTCCTATGATGCATATGAAAGTTAAACAATAGTTCACAGTGAGGGGGCGGGAGAGCTAGTTAATGTGCATGAATCACTTAACTATATTATAAAACATATGCAATAGCTAAATGCTTCTAATTTCTAGGAGAGAGAACAATTTCAGGGAATAGGAAAGGGTCAGAGTAATCGTAACAGGCTAAATGTTTTTTCTGGGATGGAAAATAACGGTTTTCCCCCCCGATAATATTGGCATTTGCTACTATTAAATTGATCGTTCCATGCTCATTTACTGTAGTTTGCACCCAATTATCTCCCAGTACAACTAGTATCATAATAGTCAAGTGACTCACCAGTCTCCCAGCCCCCCCAGCACACCAAGGGATTATTGTCACTCACCATTCCAGTAGTGTATTTGAAGATGTTGATCTAAGCATAATGTTGCTGTTGCCTGTACTGACTGTTTTTCTTTAAACATGGTTAGTCATATTGGAACTTTACCTTAAAATCCAAGGTTTAACTGGCTTGAGTTAGAAGAAAATAATCTGGCCGGTAAATATTTTTTTCTGGAATTTTTAAATGTCGATATTCCAGCAACATATTGGACAAAGGCTCTCAAGATCTCTTGGTTAAAATTCCACCACCAAACTGAAGGAAAGCTTGGGGGTGTCACGTTCCCGCCAGATTCTGCTGAATCGTCTGTGTTAGAAACAGCTTATTCCTGGGGCTCGTGACAATGCTTTGGAAAGGGTAAACATTTTGCCTTGGGATTTGCAGCACATTGCACCAAATGTCAGGTACTTTCAAAACAATTTCCTGGCAGATGTGAGGTAAACTAGGATCAGGGGGGCAATATTTTGTTTCCTTTTCTCATATTCCTGAGTGTCCTTACCAAATCTGTAGGAAATTCAGTGCAGAACATTGATGGTGTCAGATTAAAAGGAATATTTTTCCTTGGTTTCGAATGGGAAAGCAATTCTCAAAAAAATGGAGATAACAGTGGGTAATCATGATAATACTTGACATTTGCATCACGGTTTTCATCTTCTAGACACTTTACTTTAAACTATGAGTCTTCAAAAGTCCCCTGTGAGGTAGGGGAGTAAGTATTATTAGCCCCATTTTACAAATGGGGAAACTGAGGCAGAGGTGTCATGTGCCTTACCCAAACCAGAGAGAGGGTCTGTGCAAGAGTCAGGATTAGGTTTAAGGAGTTTTTGTCTAGGCTTTTAATTCCCACATTCATTGTGCCACTAAAGTATGGAACCCTGACTGACTGTAGTAATGATCTGAGAGTAAAGTAATTCCAACTAGCAGGGCTGAATTAACCATCTCTGGGTCCTAAGCAAACCCCACTGCCAGCTCCCACATGGAGGCACACACCATCCAGTGCCTGGATGACAGTGGCAAAGCTCCAGCTAGACTCATTCAGGTACTGGTGAAGAAGCCAGCCCACAACAGCGGGTGGGAAGAGCAGCTCTGGCCGCACCACTGCCCTGTCAGGTTTGGCCTGGCCAGCCCTCTGTCATGATGGGGGTTGGCAGGGCCAAAAGTGAGTGGTGTTGCGAGCTGGTGCACCGGGGGTTGCAATGCCACTCACCTCAAGTTTAGCCCTGCCTCCTCCCCATCATGACAGAGGGTCAATGAGGCCAAACCTGAGCAGGCAGTGGGGTGGCCAGAACTGCTCCTCCTTACTTCTGATATGGGGCCATCTCCTGCACCAGTACCTGAACCAGACCAGCCAGAGCTTAGGTTGCCCCCCACCCTACCCCATACACAAATTAGGTCCTAGGCATGTGTTTAGATTGTCTATGCCTTAATCCAGCCCTGCCAACTAGTTTGACCCATGCTTAGTTCCTGTGATTGTCATGCAGTCACATACAGCGGGATGCAGAAGGAATGTGTAATGTTGAGGATAGGGAAGTATCATTTCCTATGGCTCCGTCACACGTGTTGTTCGACTGTTTCTTCTTCAGCTCCTCAGCAAGTTGTGCATTTATTTCAAGGGAGGATAATGCTATGTACTGTTCTTCATGAGTGTCTTCGTGCCAAGACATGAATCTTTGGATATTCTGGAGTATTAATGTTAGGAGCATGGGTACACTTTTCTTTAATTGTGCATAAAGCCTATTTTAACAAAGCAGTGCCCACAAACAGTTGACACTCCATCTCTAGCTAAATCACACATAAGCAGCCTAGGGAAACAAAACATAGGCCTCTACACCTTGAGATAAATGAAACTCTTCATCAGTTGTATTAACAAGACTTTTATCCTCTGCAGCTCATCTGCTACAGTGTGACATGGTCACTCACGCTTGGACAGGTCTGACACTTCATCCAGTACTGGGCAATGGTACACATACACAAGTCGGTGCAGCTTCAAACAAATCGAAGCGAGGATTTATGTCAAGACAAATAACAATTGGCAGTTAACAACACAAAAGAAGCACGTTCACTAAACAAGACCTAAACCACAATTGTTATCCCTTTGTCATTCATTAGTAAATAAAAAATGAATGTCACGGACTTGATTTCTGATGAGTTATTTTTTCCTGTTAATTCAATAAAAAGCAACCAAATTTCCAAATTCTTTTCAAAATTCGGTGTGGGGTTTTATGGGGGGGCGGCATTGTTTTGTTTACGGAAAAACCCATCTATCACTGGTATTTCCTGAATTTTGTTAAACTTAGTTGTTGTCAAGCCAAGATGTCATACATTAAAGCATGATAGCTGGCTTGTGCCTCTCTCAAGCAGCCAATTTAGTTATGGGGTGTAGAAAGATATATCCTAAAGGGAGTGTCCACTTAATGTTCTTGATTGCTAATATTTGCTTTGTGACCTTTCCATTAACATGCATATAGCATATGTCCCTCCGCCTACCTAGCCTCTGCAGTAGCCTTAGCGTACTAGTCATCCTAATTTGGAGGTGGAATATATTTTGTACCTAACAGGGCCATCATTTTGGAATGGAATCAGAGGATTTGGAACATCTAAGCCAAACCACACCCTGATTTATTTTCTTTGTGCATAGCAATAACATGGAAATCCCCATGTGAAGCATGGAATGGACTGGGAAAAGATGATATCTGCACTGAAATTAGAAGACAATTCCTGCCCTGAAAATAAAAAGCTGCCATTTTAACTCCCTGTGAATTTCACAGAAGGATTATCCTTAAAATTGCCAAGTTTTATTAATTGATTGCTAGGAATTATGCACACAAGCTTTGCATTAAGAATATATCAATAACATATTTTTTACATTCTATGGGATCATCTCTTTTGAATTGTCTCTTTATAAGTAACATCAGAACTGCAGTAACAAGGTGGGGTGATCTGAATAAGAAAGGATGCATGATAATACCTGAGTCATAGTAATTGGCTCATCAGAGACTGTTGGAGCACCCTACGTCCACACTACCCGCCGGATTGGCAGGTAGCAATCGATCTATCGGGGATCGATTTATCGCGCGTAGCGTAGACGCGATAAATCGATACCTGATCTCTTTCCCGTTGACTGCTGAACTCCAGTTCGACGAGAGGCGGAAGCAAAGTTGACGGGGGACCGCGAGGACGCGAAGTAAGTAATTTTAATTCGATCTAAGATACATCAACTTCAGCATTGCTATTCTTGTAGCTGAAGTTGCATATCTTAGATCGATCCCCCCCCCTCCTCCCCAGTATAGACCAGGCCAAGTGTGGGTGTGAGAGAGAAAGAGAAACTAGGAGGGCAGTAAACCCTGCAGGGCACTGATGCTAAGGACTGGTCTACACTGGGGAGTGGGGGGGAGGGGGATCGATCTAAGATACACAACATCAGCTACGAGAATACAGAGAATCACTATCTAAACTGCACTATGAACTTGTTTGGAATCTTCAGATTGGACCTCTGATGAGCAGACCCTACTGTTTAACTGTGCGGTGCTGTGAGAGAGATAAGTGGCCAAATTCTGTTCTCTCTGTAAATCTAGAGTAAACTGATTGGGTTGAATTCTGTATTAATTTATACCCTTGTGACCCTACTGACCTCAGTGATCAGAATTTGGACCACTGACTTCAGTGGAGTTATTCTTCTTTTATATTGGTGTAATGGAGAGCAGAATTTGGTCCAAATATATTGCACATGGAAAAACATGCTAAAATATGAACGACATATTTTCAAATATGCAAAATATTTATAAAACACACAATGTGTATCTGTGTGGGTAGAATATGTATTTAATATAATGTACCTATCAACATGTGGAAAAAATAGCAAATGCAGATGACTCTATTTCAGAGGAAATTCAAACACAACCAACTACATTTACATCAATGTTTTGCAAAACATGTTTGTTCTTGAATATGTAATAAAATCCTAAATATAAGCAGAAATATATACAAACAAAATCATGCAAGTTGACTAGGTATTAGATATTAATGGCCCTAATTTTCCCCTCACACTGAATTCATATCAGTGCAATTCCATGGTGCTACTCCTGATTTACTTTAAATGAGGAGAATTGGGCCCATATTTTTCTTTCTCTATCATGCAGGAATTTGCTACAAACTAATGGAATAATATACCACATCTTCTGGGGCGTACAAGATGGTACGTAGTTTTTCTATCCCCTTACTTCGCTTATAAAGAAATATTCTCTGACTCCTTCTTACATGTAAGCAAAAACACAGTAAAGTGATTTATGTAAGAATAGAGACTCCTCAATACTCAAACTTCCTAAGTTTTCACAACTTCCTAAATCTTCACAGGCAAGGTGAGCTTAATCTACATTTTATTAGTGTCCTCCACTTGACTATTTCAGGAGGCCGTTGCAATCAGAATGTCAATTCACGTTAAACAAATCCTCTGGAAAACTAGAGACAGGTGCCTGGTTATTATAAGCATTGCATTACAGTGGAACTCACTCTTTTGTAAACTCTGATGCATGAAATTTCACCCATAGTGAAGCTTTTCTGTGAAGCAGGCCCCATTAAGGGTCCCCTGAATTATGAAGTTATGTAAATTCTTTTCACATCCACTAGAAATAAATCCATGAACTCTTATTACTGAAGCATTAACTCCTGTTTTAACCTCTGTTTTCCTGAAACTCCTCCTATATTTTGTTTAATAGAATGGGATGAATAGAAGAAGAAATTAAATTGGCCAACAAAGGTGCAAGCCATAAGGTGCGCTGATACTCTGGATACAAGTTGGGACTTGTGTATATTATTATTAGGGTTGCAGGTTTGTAAATGGCAGTGAAAAAGTCATGGCTACTGTGACTTCCTTGTGTGTCCATCACTTCTGTATGGGAAGTCTCTAGGTGGGTCACGCTACCAGCTCGGTGTGAAGGGAGGCCCTGGTGGTGGTGGTGGTGGCATGTCAGAGAGTAAGCCTGCCCCACATGTACCCTGCAGCAGTTGCTCTTGTGTCCTGTGGGACTGGGACTGGCTCCCCGCTCTGGGCATTGCCACCTGGGTCACAGCACCGCTGAGGTTTGGCCCAGCAGCACCCCTGTCATGCTGGAGGAGCTCTACAGAATGTTCTCTACACTGGAGGTAAACCAGCAGGGCAGGCCTGGAGCTGTTGAGAGTTGCACGCTTCCGCAGATAGAGCAGTGCAGGCACAAGCTGCTCAGGAGTGATTGGGAAGCAGATGCCTTCCCCTGGGGAATAGAAACCTCCACACATACCACTCTGCACTGAACCTCTTGCCAGCTCAGGAGCAGATGAAGCAGTGTCCCACACTCAGCTGCAGGGATGGCTGGGGCCTCTTGAAAGTAACCATGGAGCACGCTTTCCTTCTGCACTGTGTGCAGGGGGCAGGAGGTATGGCATCCTAGACAAGGGACTGGACTCCAGGGCTGGTCCTAATTGTCTCTAAATAACTTTCCCATGCAGGCTTCTGTAGATGATTGGCAGCATTTTGGGGTTGCCACAATGGAAAGTCACATCTTGCTCCCTTGCCAAAATTTAGTTGGGGATCACCAGTTGAATCAGAGAACATCTTGGGGAGTGAAAACAGGACTGTTACCAGCTCAGTCCGAGCAAGGAGGTGCTAAAGAAGGCAAAGAGTGTTACATTCACTGTAGTTCAGCAAGATCCTTAATAAGGGAAAAGTGTGTTTTTATGTTATTATACAGCAAAGTAACAAGGGAACTTTCATTGTGTGTCTATTGAGATAGGCCTTATTAGCAAATTAAGGACCACCACCAATCTCCCTGAAATTAATGTAAAATGTTGGTCAGTATGCTATACAACTGGAGTGTCAGTCTGTCCTTTACATGAGACATAAAACTAAGGCCCTAATCATTTGAGGTCATTAAAGAGCTCATTATGCTTTCCCTAAGTGCAAGACAAATTCCAACTCAGGTGATCCAATGATGATTTAGAATCCCTAAATTCCCCTGCAATTTCTATTATATACACTTATCTTCCCTTCCTGTCCTTAACCGCTGCAGTGTTGCTGCGAACTAATAAAAAAGCTGTTGCATCAAACCTCAGAGGTGACTGTACTCCAGTCCTGAATGAAGTAATTCTTTACATATCCTTTACTTATCAGTTTAGGGACGATTCACCATGCTACATAGGCCCTTAGTATCCCATAAGGGTATTAGCAAAAACAATGAGGAGTCCTTGTGGCACCTTAGAGACCAACAAATTTATTTGGGCATAAGCTTTCGTGGGCTAGAACCCA